CAAATCCAGCGGCAAAAAAAGCCAGCCATACCACTACCCGGTCCTCCAAATATCTACACCTGTGGTAAAAGTTACACATGAAGCTAAAGACAAGCATAGTTTGTTTTTTCCCTTTTAAGTTTTCATCTGACTGGAGTTAAAAAGTAAGACTCCAAGCTGGTAGCAAGAAGTAGAGCCAAGCATTGTGCAGGCAGGCAGCACGATTCTGCCAACGCACCTGCAACCCTTGCTGTTCCAGCACTGGACACTACCCGAGCCCGGGCTGCCAGCAGCCGGGACTCTGCCAGCCTTGATGGGCTTGTGATGTGGACAGATGTCTGCTAGGACCTGGAATGAGGTCACCAGCCTCATTTGACTTGTGGCTGAGTACTGATGTAGGAGTTCAGGTACCCAGAGATGAAAGGATATTATGTTTACCCACCGAACCACCCACTCACTGAAAAACAAGCCCTAGCCCAGAAACACATTTTCCCTAACCTAAGGATAGGACGGGGAAAAGGAAGGCAAGGTAGTTCTTAAAAACTGGAAGAATTCTCTTGGTTTCATAGATTATCACCTTGAATACACACGGCACATCCTAGCAGCTATATTTTCCAAACTTGAGTCGTTTACCTAAGCAGCTGTGCCAATTTTGAGGTATTCACGTTAACGAACAAATAGGGAAAAAAAAGCAGAATGTCATTAACATTAGCCAATACAAAAGGGATTTTTCTCTCTTTTTTTTTTTTAACTTGCAAAACTATTTCTGGTAATTTACAAATACAGAAAAAACAAGATAGATTATTGTTACTTTTCAGCAAGAGAGGGGTTAATCGATACATCGTGCAAAATTTAGGCAAGGAAAACTTCTGGTCTCTCTGCTGGACTGTATTTCTTGCAGTGCGTGACTTATAAAAAGTTACACAGTTCAGATCCTCAGAAAGAGTTCTGTCTCTCCTACATTGTACTAAAGAGTTTATAGAGAAAAAGGTATTTAAAACACCTTTCACCTTCAAAGATCTGCTAACGCTCTACAGTCCTACAGCTCCCCAAAGAGAAACGTTTGGGCAAGTCCCATACGTTCAAATTCAGTCACCAGTAAGACCTGCCCTTCTACTGGTATGAAAACAAGAGTTCATAAAGATCAATTTATTGAAAACTGGACTATTTAACAAGGGCCGCGGTGGTTAACGAAACTGAAAAAAGCCCACATTTTTTAAACACGAAAAATCAAGATAAAAAAAATTTGAAGTCTTTGGAACTCCACGAGAACTGGAGACATTACGACACCAGAAAAGACAATGCAAGCTTACCAGTTAACAGAGGAGCATTTTAGTTAAAACAAGGCGCAAGAAAGACGTAACGGCTTATACAAAGCAGCTATGACCTAAATACATCATCCAAGAGAGACTGCAGAGTATGAAATTCAATCTAAAGGGTTATTTAAAATTTGTTTTTCACTTACTATTAGTTCCTAACATCCATTTCAAGTGGTTAATTGTACTGGATACACCCACATTAGCAAGCAGTTGAAGAACTCTGTGGAAACATTAAATACAGGAGCAAAACTAGGCAGTATTTCAATCGCTGATGAGAAGAGTCAGGTGACGTTGAACGCCATTCATCAAGTACAAGCCAATCACTAGCTCAAAACAGATGAAATCGTGACAGCATAACAGACAACTCCCAAGACATCTGTCTCAACATATCTAGCCTTCTGTTTCTAAGTTGGAGGCTATATCATTACTGTCCTCCCGTCACTCCTCTCTTCCTCATCTACCTGTTCTGAAATAAGGTTCAAGTTCGTGCACAAAGCAACCAAAACCACAGACATACTCTGAACTGCGCCTTACAATGCATGTAACATAAGAAGAGTTCTTCAGCTGCCTGAGTTTAAAAGAAAATTCTCTTGCATGCTATATGAAGTTTCTTTGGTGGAAAACCCCCCCAAATCCTCCCACGTTGATTATCTTCTATCGCCAAGAACTGTTGAATATGTTAAAAAAATTCAACTAAATTTTAAATACAGGAGAAAGTTGGGTGTGTGTGTCCCCCCCCCCAAGAGAATAAAGCACCTATAAATTTCATAGAAATAATCCACAAGCAGGAGAGCGCTCACCTGAAGCTACAGTAGTGTGTGTCCCCCCCCCCCAAGAGAATAAAGCACCTATAAATTTCATAGAAATAATCCACAAGCAGGAGAGCGCTCACCTGAAGCTACAGTAGGAGACCAGACTCACTTGACAGCAGACGGTCCATTGAGGGAAGCTTATAAATATACCAACTATGAGAAAAGCTTCAGTCAGATCCTACAATCAGTGAGGTAATTGCATCAGATATCAGATGATGTTAATCCTGGCAGTTATAGTGCTACCTGTTTAAGAGGTTTATATCCTGACATGAAGAGGCCCAAAGCCAGCTGTAGTTTAAATCTGTGGATTTAATTTTACGTACAGTGCTCAAATCCAAAATTCAAACATGTGAATGCCAAGACTTTGTGATGCTGCTGCAGTGTCGAGATCACGGGTCTCCAAACTGCATGACACAAGGTAACATGTTATTTGCTAGACACCATCCTTCAAGTCTTGTCCACTGGATGTCATGAGCACCACTTGAGTTTAAAAGGGTTAGGGTTTTCTCTGTGGTTCATTATCTGGTCTATATTATTAGCCATGTACGAGCCTAGATGGGAACACAGATCTCAAGGATTTGAAATTTAAGGAAAATAGTACATTCCATGCTGAGTTAATACAGCTGAAATAACCCTTACTAAAGAAACTTCTCTTAGCTTAACATAAAACAAAGAGCTCCAGGAGCACTAAACAGACGAACTTTCAAGAAAGAGCATCATACTTGGGTTGTCTGATGCTTAATGAAGTGAAAGTTGAACTTCTCACAGATGAAGCATTTATATTCTCCCCTCTCCCTTGCACGGATGTCTGTCACCTAACAGTAGGCAAGTCTATGCCACAGATTTGATGTTTTTCTCCTCTCCGACATAAAAGTTCCTACAAAATTTATGCCTCAGATCTCTACTCTGCTGTCAAATTTGGTTAAAATTAGACAAAGATTAAAAAAAGAGAGAGGGAAAAAAAGATGGTTTCCCTAACTATATTTTCATCAGAAAGCAGGTTACTAGGCAGTAGCGTTAGGATTGTGAGCTTACATTAAAGAAAAAAAATATCCCTCAGGAAAAACAAAGAAATCCCCAAACCGAGAAGGTACACAGCTCTCCCACTACAGCAACACAGCCAGCAGCAAACGGGGCTGGAATTCTTCATCATTATGTTTCCGAGACCGAAAGCTCTCCTAAAGACAGATTGTCAACTTGTGACCAGTGTAATCAGCCAATGCGAAGTCCCTTCACGTCTGCGTGAGGCGAATAATTATCATAATAGACATTAGTAATTAATTTCCGGCGTGATGTCAGCTGGTGCGGCAATGCCAAGCGAGCGTCCTTGTCAAACACACCCCAGCCGTCTGGACGACTTCAGTCCCATCTCCCTGATTAGGATGCGCACTGATGCGCTGCTTAATACAATCTGCCATCAAATGCCAAATACTTCAGAACTAAATTAGGAAATATGTCCAGCTTTACAGAGTGACACTCGGGGGCCTAAGTAGATTTCTCTGTTCCTTTACGAGGCACAAAGGTGATCACCGATGTAATGCCCCCGAATGAGGCAATTTTACCTTCTAACCTCCCACCTCTGTAGGGAAAAGAATTGGATTAGGACAGCAAAGGAATTAATAAAGACAGCATGGCCTCGCAGCATCTCTCAACCCTAGAGGTATTTATGGTGGCCTCAGCATTTCCCTAGTGAACGTGAATTTTAAGGGGAAATTAGATGCAGCTGGACACATTTATTCCTAACACAGAGGTAGTCCTAAATAAAGCTTTCCTGTTCTAGTCGCTTGCCAAAGAAAACGCTGCATTTGTACACCACAGAGCACAGCTCCTTTCATCTGGTTGCTCACCTCCTGCTTCTTTCTCCACCTGCCTGAAGCACTCTCCTTCCCTCTTTGCTGATAGCCCATCACATGCCTTAAGTATAACCACAAAAAAATGGAATGAAATTAGGGAATGGGAAAGTCAGGCAAGATGCAGGAAAGGGACAGAAACTCTTCTCAAGGCATCTGCAAACAGGTCTTTCCGCAGCCTGGTCCCTGCCCTGGAGTGGGGCCGTGTCCAGGAACAGGCTGCTGCCACCAGCTACCTGGGAATTCAGGTAGGATTCCGAGCCCCGCAAAATACAATTATTTATGCTACCTATTTGGGTCTGCAAGCCCAAGAGAGCCCCTCCTGCAAGCAGACAAGTTTGAGAATAGCTGCATTAGAAGCATGCCTCAGCCACGAGTCTTCAGCACGGTTACAAAAACAGTCTGGTTTTGATCTACCCTGCCACTGCTAAGATGTGCTGATAAAAGCAGTAGACTCTGTCACAGGGGGCTTCAAACCTACGATTAGCATTTAGCTTCCTTTAATACAACAGTCACACCATTCTCACCAAATTGGAAGTAACTTAGTTCAAACACTCAAGTGCACAAAAAAAAAAAGAAAGAAGCATCCTCCTAAGACTGCACATTTGCATGTACAGGCCTTGACACGCTGCTCAGGACGCCCTCATCAGAAAGGCTGAGGGATGTTTTGGCTTTTTGGGGTGAGGTTGACTACTGGGGTTTTTAGTTTTTTGGGGTTGGTTTTTTTTTTTTTTTTTTGAGACTAGTTCCCCCTAGAGGACCACTGACGCAGCATACAGCTGAATAAGCTGGGACTCGCTGAGGAGCGGAGATCGCAAAGTCTTTACAGTGAACCCAGTTGGCTGAACAATAATCCCTTACTTCAGCCCACTGGAAGAAAACTAATAGAAGCATCAGATTTTTGCCTTAAAAAAATGTCTTCCCTCTATTGTCAAAAGCTGAATAGCAGGGAAGGAAACAGTCAGTAGCATGAACTCTTTTTTCCTTTGTTAATTATGAAGGTATAAAAATCTTACAAATAAAAAAAGCCAATTAAATACCTGGTTGGGCTCATTCAATAACCAGCCAAAGGTTTTGACCCCAAAGGCTGCTTCATGAGCAGACACATCCAGACATGTGACAGGCTGACCATAGACAGAATGGAGGATTTTGCCAGGATCTTCTGCTTTCAGGAGATAGACAATGTCTTCTGCAGCTGCTACTGTGACTGGACTCCCCGTAACATCTGGAACCAGATTAAGGAAGTTGACCTAAAAAGAGCAGACTTTTAATTTTTATTACAGCCACAAATTCTTTTAGATCACTACTGCCACATGCTAAACTGAACAAACTACTGACGTGTCGTTATCGGCTATCTTGAATCATCCCAATTATGGATTAATTTCAGACAAAGTATCAATTTTATTTCTGAACTTTTACAAGTTTAGCTCCTATGATGAAATCTAGCTCACAGTCTTTAGAATGAGCCCATTTAAAAAACTAATCAGAACACAATACAACAGAACATACCAAAACGTCACATCAAAGAAAGGAGGAAGACTTAATGGACTCGTCCTCGTTTCAGCAGGGATAGAGTTAATTTTCTTCCTAGCAGCTGGTACAGTGCTGTGGTTTGGGTTTAGTATGAGAATAATGTTGATAACACACCGATGGTTTAGTTGTTGCTGGGCAGTGCTTACACTAGTCAAGGACTTTTCAGCTTCCCATGCTCTACCGACTGAGCAGGCTGGAAGTGCACAAGAAGCTGGGAGGGGGCACAGCCAGGACAGCTGACCCCAACTGGCCAGAGGGACATTCCATACCATGGGACGTCATGCCCAGTACAGAAACTGGGGGAAAGCTGGCCGGGGGGGCCGCTGCTCGGGGCCTGGCTGGGCATCGGTCAGTGCACGGTGAGCAATTGCATCGTGCATCACTTGCTTTGTATATTATTTTATTATTATTATTACTATTTTATTTCAATTATTAAACTGTTCTTATCTCAACCCATGGGTTTTCTCACTTTTACTCTTCCGATTCTCTCCCCCATCCCACCATGGGGGAGTGGGGAGTGAGCAAGCGGCTGGGTGGGGGCTAGTTGCCAGCTGGGGTTAAACCACGACACTCGTTCAGATGAAGGACGGAAAGCCGTAAGGTTAAAGCACACAAAGCAAATACCGTGGCTAGAATGTGAATACAGTGCTCCAGAAGAGGCACCACATTCACACAACTAACAGGGAACAGTTGATGCTTACCCTGAAATCATGGCTATATACCCTAAATCAACCGAAAAGTTATCACATGACTCTAGGACAGCCCAAGGATCAGCTCCCCCATCTTCTGTCACAAGACCAGAATGACGTTGCTCTTCCCGTTTCAGTAAATGGTTAAGACATTGCTGAAAAGTCTCACCACGGGAAGGGTTTAAACTCCTTAACAGCACAGTTGATTTCTAACCCAACCGTAGAAGAGAGTGTGGTGTCCTGAGTGTCTTTCACATGTGGCAAACTGACATTTCACAGCAAGCAAGATGCAAGAGTAAAATGGACCCAACTACAATGCAGCTGGTGGTGTTGTTTTAACATTTTTATTGGGAAACCTCTTAAAATAAACAAAATCCCCAAACATTTTAAGTATTGTAAGACTGACTTAGCTTTGAAAGAGGGGATTAGTCAGGAGTGGTTTAAATCACAACTTCATACCTATTAGCTGCGCAGTAGCTTCTTGCAATAGGAGAGAAGCTGCAAGATTCAATTTATTCCTACGCACTTCCTTCCCCTTTCAAAAAAAAGTGTTGATAGTCCGAGACATAATAAAACTTCAGAGAATGGGACAGCTTTTGATTTTTAATTAAAATAGTCTCAAAACTTCAGTGACAGAAGGTGCAACCTAAAGAAGCTGCACAACTAGTTACAGCTTCACAAGTGATACTATTAGCTCGGCTGCAATATCCTGCCTCAGAATTAATCAGATAGCGTTGATCTGGAATGAGACCTTGAGTTTTAGCTCCAATTCTACGTGAGAAAACTGATTTACAAAATGAGCCAACTTAGTTTGATGTTGACAAAAAAAAATAATTAAAAACAGCCAACCTCCTGCACCATATGGACTTCTGTTCATTTTCACTTGTAGCTTAAGCCAGCATTTCACCCTCTTCAGTGATGAAAGGCTCGTCCATTAACCTGCTTCAAAATCATAGCCCCTAGCTGATAATGCTGTTATCTACTTCAGGCAACACTCTTGTAAGATTTTTATAAGATCCCTCTTAACCATACCAAAAATAATTAGTGGATCAGGAGCTCCTGGAATGAAGCTGAGTAGCCTGGAGACTCACCAATTTCTGGATTTCAAATGTTTCTGTAGTTTGCCAGAATCCTCTGTCATTAGGGCTTTCCACTTTGACCTCGAAGCCAGATGCCGTCGCTACCGTTGCACCCTCTGAACCAAGAGCTAAAGCCTGTATCCTCTGATTGTGCTGGTAACGATGGATTGGCTCCCGCCCGAACATCAGGCTCCACACACTAACGGTTCCTGTACATGAAAAAAATAAACACTATGCTTTACCTTAGAACTTAACAAAACTTTAGAAGATCATTAAGATGTAAGCTTATAAGCATTCTATTGGAAAAGGTTAACATACAGAAAAGAGACTACAGGGCAGGAAACCAGAACTCAGGACACTGCATCGCACCACGCAACCGGTTCAGAGGAAACTTTCCAAAATCATGGGCTCTGGCATTAGAGGCTCGTGCTAAGTAATTCCTAATTTTTTTACTTTTAGATAACATTGTTATCTACCTTGAGGAAGACTGCTTGAATTCTCTCACTTTTACACATTTGGAGAAGACGAGACTTAAACAGACACCTACATTTTTATTCTACTATATACTCGCCCTCAATTACCACTAAAAACAGCGAGGAAGAACCCACACTCAAATTTAAGTCACTCTGCTGTACACAGAAAAGTTTTAAAGAAAAGAATCTTAAGCTCTGCACGTAGCAATCAGGCCAGGGATTTTAATACCATTCTTAACAGTTTACAACCAGCAGCAAGGCTCCTAATCCTGATGCTCTGGAAAAACAGAAAATGCAAAAGAGTTCAGTGCTTTCAGAAAGCTGAAGAATACAAACCCCAAAGAACACAGGAGTACAAGTCAAAAGACAATACATTTGCAATTGCATTTTTTCCCGGCATAGATCACCGACACTCTATTTAAAAGCATGGTACATTAAAGCAATAATCTGAATAAGAGCAACCTGAAACAATCGGGAGTGTATTACAGAACAGAAGGGCCAGACGGAATTGGAGACTTCTGGGCCACCTTTGCACTGAATTAATGGAGAAGCAATCTTCAGACGTGATAGACAGGGCTGGAGAAGCCGTCCTTCTACTTGAGCGTGGCCATTAATGATGAAATGATTAATGGCAGCTATTCCTTCAAAAGGAGACATAAAAGCTCTGACAGACAGCTGTGGACGGGCACCAATGCCAGTTTGCAAACACTCCTCCCATGTCCCAAAGGAGGTGAAGCAAGAGTGTGGTAATGAAACTGCACATAGTGAAATGGTATCTAAATGAGTTTAAATTGATTTATGTTTGCTTTTGTAAAGATTATTTGGTATCTGGAAAGTGCTACCCATGTGAAATAATGCAGATAATCCTAAAGATCCCTGTCTAATGGCACTCCCACTGAATATTTATATTCCTCGCCATGGGAATGAGTACCATAATGGGGACCATTTTTGTTTTATTAGGGATGCATATTTAAATTAATCTGCTATTTGCCTAAACAATTAGCTGCCTCTGTTTGTTTACACAAAGCCAAAACTGCAATTAGGCTTCCATCAAAAAGATAAGTCCCGACTAAAACTGTCCCGATGGAGTCATAAGGGCTCAGAGCAGAACTTCCCAAAATTACTTCTTAGCATAATGGTAATTATGTTAATTGCTTGAAAGGTAAATAACTGCTGAACTGGTTTTGAAAAACAGAATGCTAGCTCGCATCACACACACTTACGCTTAAAACAAGTTAACAAATACAAATGGACAGCACAGGCTACAATTCCCTCTGCAGCCTGGTCTGCCCCACGCGAAGGCTTCGCAGCGGCACTTTTGTGCCGTCACAGCGAGTCCTCGGCTCGAAACTAAAACAAAGGGAATGGGTGAAGTCTCATCTCCAGGACAGCTGATCTAAACAAGCAAGCAAGCAAACAAACATCAATGATAAAAGACTGTAGTGATACCAGATCACGGATGTTAGAACTGGACTTGTTCATCAGACGATGAGTGTTGCTGCCAAGCTCCTCCAGGTAGGAGTATTTTCAACTTTTTTTTGCAGAACATTTATCCCAATTAAAGACCACTTTTGTGAAGGGGAAAAGGAAGCTGATTTGCTTTCAGTGAAGTCTTTTGTTTACACATCTCTGTGATGAGCATGTCATTGTTTTTAAACAGTGTATTAACGTATGAAAAGTCTGCAAAATACAAAAAAATATTCAAGTCAAACAACCCTCTTCTGACAGTGCGAGCAAATTGGGAGACCCAGAATTCAGAGTTCTGCTCTCCAAATTCAGGCAACAAAGCCACTATTATTATTGCATCTCAAACATCACAAAAAGAAAACAGCGAAAATGGCTCATGCAATAGTACAATCAGTCCGAGACAGGTACTTTTTTTTTTTAACCAGATGTTCAATAGCAAAATCTGTTCAAAATATCTAAAAATTTTATCAGGCAAATACAGTGTGTGCAACACCTGGTGCACAATACAGTGTGAAAACATCCCTGGTAATATCAAAAACACAAGTGACTTGTAAGGTCACAAGTTAACATCTGTTTAATGAAGAAGCACAACATAAGGAGTAAAAAGGAGAGTTGAAAAGGAATGTAAAGAGCAAGAGAAATACTATTTTCTTTCATTAGGATGAACAATTATTTGCTCGCAAAAGGATTGCTTGTCCCCCTTGCTTCTCCCCTCCTCCAAAAGAGTGTACGATTCTGTATGTACATCCTACATCATATCTGTTACTTGCTGCCAAGTCAGAAGCTTCAATCACAGCGTGCAAGGACCGTCTGTGGAAATGCACTATTGTCAAAACAGGTGTATGCATTCATCCATGACAGCAGAAAAACATTGTCAAGTTTTACACAGAAAAAGCAAACGCTCCACTGTATTTATCAATAGGTAAAGCTATTACTAGGTCTAAAAGTGCTACGCAGAATATTCTGTATTCTGTATTTCACTGCAGAAACAGCAAAAGGTATTTATTAGCATGCAAGTCTTTGCAACAGTCAATCATGTTTGTGTAAGAGCAAAAAAAGCCACTATTACAGTTAAAGTTATTAGTATGGCAACATAAAAAAAATTAGGCATAAGATTTACCAGTGCAGATGAGATCACTACTTTCCATAGTCTATCTTCCTGCCTCCAGCAGTGACCAGTACTTCATTTCCAAAGCAATATCTTTGCTAAGGTGAAGTTAAGGTTGCAAGCATACAGTGTCTTTTTTTTTTTTTTAATACTGTAATCTTAAAAAGTCATTAAATCAAAATTATAAGCAATACTTTGAGAGCATGCTAAAATCTGCACCACAATTGTGATTATTCCAATTGAACTCTAATAACAACTCCTCAAACTGATTTAGACTTTACAGCTTGCTTACATTTGATCTTAGCTCAAGGAAACGAGTTAAGCGCAAGAAGCTGATGAAGATGGTATAATTGCTGACACTTGACATTACAATCACTGTACCAGTCTTCTTGTTTATCACTTTGGCCCAGATTGTACAAAGAATTTAGGTTTGTAACTTCTAACCCAATACATTGTTGAAATGTGGCCTGATGAAAGGTCCATTTATTGCAATTCACTCTAGATCGGAAGGTATTTGGAGAAAACATTTAACTATGAGTCTATTGTGCCTTACACAGTGCACTGCTGATCCTGACTGTACTCCAATTTTTGTAAGCATCAGCCAGTCTTAACACATCTCTTGCTATGTCAAAGGTGACTGGCTGGAAGCTGTTCTCCATTAACAGTGCCTGTCTCTAGTATATTCCCCTCCTCGCAGCTGAAGCACAAGAGACATCCTGCAAAAGCAGCTGGTTTTACATCTGTTTTCACATAGGCGTCTCTGGTATAAAAGGCAACACTTTCGCCACACACACAAAAAATTACCTGTTTTCATATAAAATACTCTAATCCTGTAACAGGGAAAGGCAGCATTAACACAGAGGCAAAAAATGTTCAATCACATTTGTAAATATTCTACTGGCTGTGTTCGCCAGCGTAATACAGCATGTCACAGCTCTTTCTAAGAGCTAGCCGCAGCAGAGGACAGCTGCCCGCTAGGGCTACCTGCTAACAGCAAACCCCTGGGCTAAGTGGAGGGAGGGCTGTGTTTTGGTGCAGAAGATCCTATGCTCAGATCCTAATGACCCATTACATCAGCTCTTCCACGTGAAGACGATACGGCTAGCAGTTGCTGTCAGCTTTAGAAAAGATGTAGAGCGATCTACATGTGCATTATCTGCAAAAAATAAAAGCAAAGACAGAATTTTGTGTATGCTAGAGCAGGGAATCTGAACATACTCGTGGTCTTCGTGTTCGTTCACTTCAGCTTCTAAACACAGTTGCATGGAAAGGCCAGAAGCTGCTTAATTCACATCAACTACATGACACTTTTCCTGTTTGTGGGTCACAGTCTTGCCACTTCCTATCTTGATTTAAACAAAATTCTTTTTCACCTTTTGAAAACACTTCTTACATGTAATTTTTTCCTCTAAGCTGGGAACATTAATTTATTTCCTTGTAATTTTCAGATAACATCATGCTCCTATGAAGTACAGACAGTTGACAAAACACACAGGTGGAAATGAGCACCAGGCTGAAGTCTCAAAGCTCCTTATCTTGAATTTCGAGTTTCTCCCAAAAACATTTCTAGTCGGAGGGACCACCAACACACAGCCAACTTGACCCTAGTAGATGCTTGGTGTTTATTAACTAAAATTTTACGTGTTATTTTCACGGCAATGCTGTTTCTCAACTTTCAGCGGGTACAGCAAGCTACTTACCATACTAAACAGCGAGAGACTAGACCTCAGTCATAAGAGTCGTGCCTTTACGTTACCATTACCACATCAGTTTCCACCAAATGTTGTCAGGTTTTATCTCCACCACTCTTCTTACTGAGATTTCCAAGTGACACCATCCCTGTACAGTACTGTCAGAAAAGGCACAGACGAGAAAGTCTGTATTTCGTTCCCAACTTGGGGACTTGAGGGCCAGACTTCCCTGACCGTGATGTGAAATCACACACCATTTACCCAAACCAAGAGTTTCTGCACCCACAGCCACCTGTACGTATCTGATGGGAATAAATATACTACCGCAGGCTACATGTGGCTTTCTTCAAAAACTTTTTCCTTTATTCGAGCCAGCCTGTTTCCCTGCTCTTGCTATCTTACAGCATGTCCTGGCGCTTAGGGGAAGACTCCACGCACATTATTCCACTTCTGTCTTTGCAAAGAGGGTATAGAAGGGACAACACCCGCAAGCAGCTTTAAGGGCATCAGAATGGACGAGACAGCAGATTTCCAGTCCCAGAAAGTAGCGCTGCCAAATTTCCCTTCCTGGAGCCTGCCAACAAGCAAGAGAACTTCTGATCCCTGCAGAAACCACCTTCCTTTGCTCCATGTTGCTACTTTGCAACTTGCGAAGTACCACTAACTCCTCCCAACGGGTCTCAAAGCACTACCATCAACAGGGGCAGCGTGGCATCTCCCCGCCATGCCTACAGGAGTATGAAGCACAGCATTTAAAAAAAAAAAAAAGTATGTTCTCTTGTTGCAGCACATTGTTTTCAAGTCAAACTATGAGAGTCCGGAGGGTGGGGGTGGAGGGTGATGGCTAAAGTAGACTGCTGTTTCCCAAAAGCTGTGGCTCACAGCCAAAGTCAGGCAAGCATGGAGCAGATGGAGTCCTGGCAAGGCCTCTACTGTCCCTGCATTAGCAGCATCTGCTCATTACCCAGAACCCTCGCCTGCTTTATCTAATGCTCCAGGAAAAGCATTTTGATTTGATTCATTTCAATTCGGTAACGTGCAACACAATTAGTGGTAAAATCAAACTGGAGGACTGCCAGTGCTGACAATAGGAAACAAGGCAGAAGAAATATGAGGCCAGTGGGTTGGAATTCAAAAATCACAACTGTGGATCAAGTTGCCAAGTCCCGTTGCCCCAGGTGTACATACAGTGCCCCCACTGAGCACTGGCATGGGCGGAGGGAACTTCATTTTCTCCCCATACATTTTTCTCTCATTTACCTCTCCTTGCAGCTTGTTTCTCAGAGGCTGATGCTGTCGGAAACATTCACCAGAAGTCACAATCCAATTTTTCTTTAGTGTCATCACGGAGTTACAATTCACTTTGGATGCAGGCATCCCAGTAAGACAAATCTTTTTCCTTGCTGTATTTCATATGCCTTGGGAAGTGTTTGCTACTACCGAACCAGCAAAACAGCGCTGTAAGGCAGGCGCGGCGTGAGCAGAATCTGCCTGTTAGTTCTTCCCTGTGATCGGATGCCAAGGACATCGCTGCGTGAGCTCTGTTGAACTGGGAGAAACTGATGTTATCTGAACGAGTCTGCTAGCCAGGGATTCGACAGAGAAGTCTAGACTCTTTGCCTGACAGCACCACCTCCAACACTAGCAGATGGTTTCTCTGTGTTAGTCAAACTTACAAACAAAGAGAAAAGGGAGCTGGAAAAGTACAACAAAGAACAATCAAACACGTTATCTTCAAAGTCATCCTCCCCAAGCTGAAAATAATTCTCTCCACCAAACTGTAAATACACGTTTTCAGATTCCAGTTAGTAAACATTTCTAAAATCAGTCTTTCTAATTCCCTATTCACATAGAAACTAATCTATTCTGACCAGGCTTCTCAAATCAGAGTAACTGCCATATCACAGAGCCCATTAAAATTTCTACCCAAAAGAATAAAAGATGCCGAGCTTTATGCAAACTAGTTTAGTCACAGCACACACAGGACTGACGACAAGGAATATGACAGAAAAAAAAACCCTAGACAAATTATTAGATTAGTCAGTGGGAGACTAGAAAACAAACAAAAGACCCTCTGCTAGTCATTGTTTGGCACACTGGACAGAGAGCCAACACTTAAAACTATCACTGTGTTATAATTTCCTATGACTCCAGTAAATAATATTAATGAGTATTCTGTAATACCAGACTTGCTGTTGTCAGAAAATGTTGCCCATCAACAATTTTTAGCCACAGAAAACTGTTCTAGCATGAGCCATGCTAGGAAAACAGTTGTTTTCACATATAAAGCATTTAATTTACTTCTAAAATAAAATATATGGATTAGAGATTTTGTTTGGATTACCCATCTTCGGTTTTGTTTCCACATGCAGAAATGCCAGGATCAAAGACCGTATGTGTACAAAGCTCCCTAACTTTAAAAATACTCTTTATTCATACCTGAGGAGAAGTTTTCAAGTGTCAAATCATACGTTTTAAAGAAAGATGATAGGAGTTGAGTTCTGCCTGAGCAACTCAGCCTAGGTTCCCAATCGGCCAGCACTGTCCAAACCTGACTTTTTTAATTGCTGTTCCCACGTCCAGTAGATGTACAGTTGGTCTCTGGCTCTTGTTGCCCATTATATAAACATCTAAGTATATTTAAAACAATGCATATAACCAGGATTTTATTATGGTTTCCATAAATATTAGGTCACAGTTTTTATTTCTCTGTATTAAAGTACATAATAACCCACCGTTGCAAACCAATACTTCAGTTAAGAAAATGTGCATCCATACACTATGCCAAGAGCAAGAGAGGACGCAGATTAATCAGACATGCAAGTTTACCAGTATTCCCATAACAAAGCCTCACAGCACCCCATGGGAGTTTTGGACAGAGGAGAAGGCTGGTGGAAGAATATTTAATATTTTTATAGCAAAACAAGTTATTTGCTTAAGATAGTTTGGCTGGACTACAGCCTGGCACTCAAGCTTTGTGTAGCAGTTCCAGTAGGAATTAAACATCAGTTTTAATGGGTGCTATGTTCCAATGCCTCCTAATGCATTTAGGGTTATTGGCCAACTTTCTCACATAAAAGCAAGTGTGTGCGTGTGTGTGTATATACAGGATTACAGACACACAAAAAGCTGAGCGCAGCTGCTTCATTTTTGTAAAGCCTTTTTTTTTTTTTTTTAAATAGGGAGGAGAGTTGTGGTTACTTACCGTCCTCGTAAGCTGCTACAGCCAGAGAGCTGTTTATCCTCACAAAGGAGACATGTGGCTGAGGGCCAGCATCACCAGGACCGTGCATTGGTTCCAGGATGGGGGCTGTGTAGTCCCAGGTGCGAGTGTCCCACAACCTCACTGCTCCTGATGTATACCTGGAAAAGAAGGCTATTGTTCATCCCAAAACATCTGAAAAGAGGTAGCTGCAGGAGAAGGGAGGAAGAAACAAGAAGTGTCTTAAAGCCCAACACCCTTTACAGCTCCTAGACCGATTCTCCTCCTGTTTACACACTCTGTGTACAAGCCCATCAACTTTGCTAATTTTATTCCCATTTACCAAAAGCAGCATCAAGTCTACTAAGGCAGGCAGGTATACTGGAGCTACAAGAACGACATGACTGAGCTACCACAGGTTACCAACTATCGATATTAGCTTTACACATAGAATGCAAGGAGAGCCGGGATCAAGGGAAAAAAGGTAATCAGTAACGAGTCTAAATTACATCATGGCAAAACTTCAAACTGTTTCCTTTCGGTCTTTAAAAATTTGTGATTGTGGTTGTGCCAAGGAAAGGCTGTTTAATCAGAGCATTACGTACATACATACAAGCACGCACATGCATAGACCCATCCAGCTTACTGCTCTTTATAGAAAGAAACTTCCTAATGCCTCATCAACTGATCAGATTTGCCTACATCTCTGAAGACTAATTAATTTATTAAGTGTTGTCTTTAGAATTAAGGCAGTGCTGCCTTCTTTGCAGAAGGCGCTCTTGCTGAAACATCAGAAAAACTATAGTTTAACATCAAACTATAGTTTGCCAATGAGAAAATAAAAAAAATAGAACTAAACTTCTCGGATAATACTGAATATATCTGAATGAACAAAGGTTGTAACACAGCAAGCAACAGAGAAACCGTTCTGTGCCATCTATGCTGCGGAACACACTATTAAAGAAAAAAAACACTGCAGGCAAAGTAGAGGAGAAGCTCCCTCTATGACTGGTCAAAGAACAGTTAAGTAGTTATTTGGAACAGTTCAATAATTATTTAAGACAACTTTTGACAGAACTGTGACAATTAACACTGTCAAACAGTCTCAGATGTCTTTCTCTGCCATACCCAAGACTTGGATTCTGTTGGGATAATGAAGGGTGCTTCCTGCTCTGTCAGCTTTGTTGTTATATCCTGACTTTTTGGGGAAAAAATACTTCAAAAGAATGATTCTTATAAGCCTCAAAGGTCTACTGGTTAGAAATCTGGCTGTCCTATGTTTATGAGGAAAATAAGAAAATAGTTATTTACAAAGGAGGTGAAGGAAGGCGCTTAATAAAGGTTTAGAAGATGTTGGGACTTCAACTCAGGTCACCCAGGTCTTTGGGGAGTACCATGCAACGGAACTACAGGTGCTCTGCAGCAGATTACTTCCAACATCTCTGAGTGAAAATGCTCCACTTTATACAACTAATTAAAGTGCCCGAGGGGACGGTGAAATCTGTCAAGCAGAAAGAGATGCACATTAATTCTCTGCACTGAATCGGGAAGAGAGGAGAACTGTGTCCTTGTCACCTGGCTTCCTCTTCAGTGCCTTACACAGCAAGACAGAAGAAAATGAGAGAACAGGGTGGTGGGATAGCACTTCTCCCTTTTCCTCCTTCTGCAAATGAGGCCTAAATCCCTCTTTGAATCTTGCTTTCATTTCCAGTTTACAGCAGCGCTATTTCAAAAGAAGAGCTCAAGAAAGCAGCTTCCCCAAAGCAAAGCTAAACGTTTCATGTTGGACCGAACAAGCAGCCCAGATTAGTCCACAACAAACACCTTCAGTTTACAAAACTGAAAAGAGCTTCTTTCAGGTACATTTTAAAATTTGGAGATAAAACACAATGGGACAGGTAATTGCACAGATCTGTTGCAGTCCCATTCAACAAGACACACACATAACATTTTGGAAGCATTTTAATTTTGACCTGCTTTTTGTTTCCCCTTTACGTCCGGGTTGGTTGGTGTCATGTTTTCAAAACTCTCCTAACTGCAAAGAGTAGCAGATTATTCTCAAGGGGGAAGCTAAAATTCTCTTGTCACTATGTGACCCTGAAAAGTGAGTTTCAAGGGAGACACAAAATACTGGTAAAATTGACAGAACTAAGTGACAGAATATTAATTTTCATTCCCAAATAAGTAAGGAAGAACAGCATCTCCTCCTAGTGCATATGCATCCTCGCTCTCACAGAGTCCAGTCTAGGAATGTAAAAAGAAAGACTAATAGATGGAGAAAAGAGAATGACAGGAACAGAGAAGAGACACAGGGCTGGCTAATTCTGTGAGCACGCTGCTTCTGGTTTTTCTACATAGCACGCAACACAAGTGATCCAGGGCTCAAGACACGCTACCATAAAAAATAACATGGACCACAATCTTGGAATTAAAGATCCAACATCACAGTACCACAATAGGTGCTTTAATTTTTTCTGAGAATTCAGCCAAGTCAAAATTTAGTTTGAACCATTCTTTGTTCTTGAAGATGAACCTGAACCACCTCTACAGCTGAGCTCAAACTGGAACGGAACCACCAAACGTTTCTCACTATCAGTTTGAAACAAATTTGACTCAAATTCCAGTATGTTTGTGCTAGGACCTGTTAAATGCAGGAACTGTCTCTGCTTGGTAGGCTCTGCATCAGACCACCCTGCAGCCTCCTCATCCTCACCCCTCCAGTGATGGACAGGTACATGCTGAAGAGCTTTCACTTCTATACCATGAAGACGTGCTGCTCTCCCACCCCTAGCAAGGACCTGTTGCACCTCAGGTATGCTCTAGTGGGTTCAGACAGGTATGACGGAACAATCCATAAGAGGACTCTGGCCATAGTGCTCATTCCAGTTCTGTCACGACAGAGAACGGGGAGCACTAGATGTGCCAGGAGAACGCTGCAAGCGCCCACCAAACCCTACCTTCACGTGTGTCTGTCCAGAAATCCCACCACTGCACTGCAAGATAGGACAAATGCTTTACGTTCATCAGGAAGAGGAGGGCAGTAAGGCATCTTTGCCCCCATCCCTTCCGTATCCCTCCTACCCCCATTTCTCACTCAGCAACACCACTCGCATCCTTCCCAGTGCGGCGTGACAGCAAATCAGTCCCATGCAGCAAACCTAAAGGATTTGGAGAGATGTTTCAAGACCATGCTGGAAACATTAAGTGGAGGTCTAGGTTTGGGCAGGGAACCAGCATGGGGAAATGGGAGATATAAACCACCTCCTCAGCTGACAACACGCTCCGCTGGCCATCACCACCACATGCCCATTTCCAGCAGACACTGGGCCTGTACCAGAACTGAACTGGAAGAATTTCAAACACAGATGAATCCAATTCTGAACTAAAAAATTTAATGGTTCAACTCCCCGCTTTTAATGCTGTTGTAAAGAGCAACACACTTTCAATTTGTAACCACAACAAAAGGCTTTTAAACTATTAAAGCATTGCCTTGCTATAAAAAAATAAAAAGGCTGCTTTATTGCAGATAATTGGCAAATCTGCTCTATTAATATAGATGGCTGAAGAGAAGAACACGCTGCACTTTACAGAACCTACTTCTAGATAATTTCAGTATTTCTATTAATTTCCTATCACAACAACTTTTACACTTCGCCACAAAAATTTAGTTTGGATTACCAGCTACTGAATTAAAGAACCCTAAGTTTAAGTCTTCTGCCCCAGAACAGGCACAATCCTCCAAACCCATTCAGTTACTGATTCTTCTATCAAGATGGCTACGAAAGGCCCACATAGCTTCTGCTGGAGTGGATGGCTACGAAAGGCCCACATAGCTTCTGTTGGAGTGGAGAAAAAAAAAACCCCAACAAACAAAAACCTTTCTGTTTAATATAACAACTAATACATTCTGTTTGCTATAATACCAACAGCATTCAGCTGCTGCTTTTTTCCCCTGGTGGGTGTAATGAGATGATTATTGCAGTGTCAGGTAAATACTCCAACATCTAATATAAGCCACTTGCGCAAAGAGAAAAAAAAAAAAGCCCCAAACCTACAAATTCTGAGTTCTCAAGTTCAAAGAAAAAAAACCCAACACATTAGAGACCATACCTGATTTACTTCATTTAGAAAGGCTGTTCAAAGTCTTGCTGTCCCAAGCACAAGAGTGAACAACAACAAAAAGACTGTCGCTTACAACCCCAAGTTTCCCCCTCTCCAGCCAGCCCCTGCCCTGATGCCTTCCAAGGTGTTTCATCCAGTGCCTGGCTTTCAGCTCTGGGTCTGCGTGCTTCCCTCCCTGTTCACCAGACACAGTCATCCTTCTCTTAGTGTTCAACAGAGACTCTCCACCCAGGTAACTCAGCTTCTTTGATGGACTTACATTTCACTTTGCTCTTGTTCTTCTGAACATTTCAGTGCATACACATGAGAAGTAGCAGCAGGAGAAAGACAAGAGCTGTATTTTTCTAACTACGCTTCTCCCTGACAAGCCAGTTCTGTAATTCTGGACAGATATGTATACCTCTGTAAAAATTAGCCTGCAAATTCAGCTTAAGCTTTACAGATACGCATAAAAAACTTGCTGAAATGGAGCAACAATAGGTGGAATGCATATGGTATACAGAAACTGAAAAAAATTAAATTCATACGGTATCTACAAACATACTATAATAAAAATATCTACTCGCTAATCAAAAGCATTTCAACTACTTTTTATCGGCAGTAATGTCATAAGGAGATGAACAATTTCCTCGTGCCCTCTCACATGAGTGAAAGCAGAAGACTGAAGGATAAGGAGCTGGTGCTTAAAAGCTGCTGATGTCCCACGATGGCTGGGAAGCAGGTGGTGAAGTGCAGAGCACATGTGGGAGGAAGCAGAGATGGAGGCTGGGCACCGCTCTAATGAAGTGGTGCTGAAGAGGCAGATGATTTCATAAGGAGAAAAACATCAGGAAACTGGTCAAAACACAGAATCTCATCTGAAAAAGCTCAACTGTGTTGGATAGCAATAGCCAGAACAAATTTGGGGAAGAGGAGGAGGGGGAGGCTGATCTCTCTCCAGAGCCCCAGATGTCTTTATCGTTGCCTAATGACAATTATACTCAACCAATTAAGACACTGCTATCACAGTTGCATTGTTAGTAAGCCTTTGGCCCTGAGT